CATTTGTATATATTAATTAAAGTCCTTGGTGCAGGCCTGGCGACGTTTTTCAACTGAAGGAATAAAGGGCGCTAACCAAGAGAAGCCACTAATGGAACACAAAACTGAGGGTATTCTGCGTATGTGGTGGCAACGGTGAGTGCACATGAATATGTAATGCTCACTTGTATTTCATATGTTAGGAAGCATGATATTTTCAGCCGCTCTACATATTCAATCAAAAAAATTTGCCTGTTGTCACAGGACCTTTAAGAGTTATAATAAAGATAATCATTACACTAGTACTTTACGAAATTCACAATCATGGTGTTTAGCACAAATGTTTTTGTATAACTGTTATACCTCAATGCTAGCCTAACCAATGCATCATTTTTTTCTTCTCTCCCTCCCTTCTAATAGGTCTCGGGACCACGTGAAGAATGACATGCAAGGGAAACAATTCATCCTTATATCTATTGCTTCTGCAACAGGATTGTGCTATGTGTTTTTCACCTGTCGGGCCATCCACCAAAGTGTGGCAAGATGCATTGATAGGATGCCAATGGCATTCTTCATGGTCCCAGCCTTAAGGCCCTTGTGCCTTAAGCCCTGAAGCCTGAAGAGCGGCCTGGAGAGCGTATGCTACTCCGTGCCGACGACTTTGAGGCGAGCCCAAGGCCAGTGATACTCTGATAGTACTACGCCTCCTTTGGATGTGTAACTTGCAAGCCTTCAACCTGCGTTAGGGCTTGTTCGGTTGTTTCGGATTCATGGCCTGAAATTATTTCTGGCTGGAATGATTGTGTAATTTGTATAACAATTCATCAGCTGGATTGGTTCCTGCCTCCATTCCGGAATAACCAAACGGCCCCTTAAGCAGAGACGTGATTGTGATGTCTACATGTGTATGCGTATACTACGCTGGTAGGAGATTGCCGATCGATGTGTATGCATTTTGCAGCTAATCTGATGATAGCACTAGTGGTATAACAAAAGACAAAGAATGGAATGATGATCGTGAAGCAGAGTCAGAATCAGCCGGTAGAGGTTGTTTGGCTCAAAAACGCACCATATGGTTTTGATGTCGTGTCACGACTAAGACGGACCTTTTTTTTCTCTTTTTAATCTTCATCAACCGTACTCTTTTCATCCCAAAATAAAATAAGTATACTTCTATGATTCTTGGAGGAGATCAATATTATATTAAAATCACATATTTAATCCTATCAAAAGCTATTTTGACATGTAACGATTGCACCTTGAAAGAGAGAAAGTAAAAAAAAAACTATTAGATAGACCAATCTATAAATATATACCTATCTATTTATTTACCATCTAAAAAGAGAGGGTTCCGTGCACATGATTTTCATGTGCGTGCTCCTTGATCGAAGTCCGCCCGTGGACTTCTCCGGCTCAGGCCCTCTTCGGTACCGCGTTTGCTTGGATTCTTCCTCCTCGCAACGGTGATTGAAAAAGCGGGTGAAGAGCTGCCATTTGGAAAACACGAGCCGCTTGCCGAGCGCTCGCCCTCCCTCCGGACCTCCATGTCACCCGCCCACTCTGCCCCGCCCGCCGCCGGAGCTCCTCCAAGCCCGCAGATCCACCGGTCCGGAGTTCCATGCCGCCCGCCCCTAGCTCCTCGAGCTAGTCTCACGCGCCCGGGCCGCCCCTCCCCTCGCGTGAGCCGCCCCTCTCCCTCGCCTGGAGCACGGCGAGCACGGCCGGATCTGGGAACTGCTGCGTGGATTTGTAGAAGGACCGAGATGCAAAGAGAAACTTTTATCTGGGTCCAGTTGCAAGATTATAGACTCATGTAATAGTAGTAAATAGTGCAAAGCAGTTTGGGAGAAGTCTAGGTTCCTAGTGCAAAATGTCCAGCCAAAAAAAATTCGGAACAACCAAACGCCTTAGATTTTACATATCGTGACTTATCAAATAATCCTGCTCAGCTTATAAGCGAGACCAAGATGAGCTCAACCAAATAGAGCCTCAGACAAATAAGGATCGGTCTCGTCTGCTCCTCGGCTCCTCTGCGTTAAAAAACCGCCCCGCCCCTCACGCCTGCCCCCACCGTGTCCACCCCCAAAATACGAATTGTTTTCGGACACAGATTCGTTCCATGGCAGCTATGCTTTGCCGAAGCATGCCCAGCGTAGCGCCACGAAGACGACCTCCTACTACTCTGCTTTGCCTGTCGCCGGGAGGATGGGGACGGCGTCTACTACATCGACAACAACAACAGCTGCTTCAGCGAGGGCATCACCTCGGCGTGGTCGCCGACTTCGCTGGCACGCCGTCCGCGGAGGCGCTCCAGCTCGACGTCATCTCCAACGCCAGCGTTGGCGCCGCCGTCCGCAACGTGCTGGCGCGGCATGACGAGGAAGGCCACGGACGTCGGCGTCTTCACCAGGCACATGGCGTGTAAGGCCATGACTCGGTCACGGATGTCGATGGCCACCACGCGGCAGCCGAGAGCCGTGAAGGCATGTCAGTACTCGTACCTGATCCCGCCCTTGGCGCATCACGTGATGATCGCCACTGGCTGCTTGCTGTCCTGCTACTACTGGCCCATGTTGTCGCCGGTCGCCATGGGGTGGGGTGCGAGAGGCATAGAACCATGGCAAAGTGACAAGCTTCGACTTGGAGCATGTTAGTAAAGAGAAGAGTAATTTAGTTCTGAAAGTTGCATTACTCGATCCTGCGAAAGGTTTCAATAAAAGTCATTTATATATGCAAGAGAAGGATGGAATGATCAAAGTGTGTTAGTTCATTAGTTTATTAAAAGTGTCGTGCATTATAAACAATGATTTGTAATAGAATTTAAATTCTATTTTTTTCGTGCAACGCGCGGCATTTATCTAGTTCCAGCAAGAATTTCGCACGCTACTTCTAAGATTCTTATAGAAGATCAATATTATATTAAAATTACATATTTAATTTAACGCTATCAAAAGCTATTTCGACGTGTAATGATTGCATCTTGAAAGTAGAGATAGTAAAAAAACAATTAGGTAGACCAATCTATAAATAAACTTATTTGGAGAAAAAATTCTATCTTCGCGGTCAGCAAATCATTGAACAACGGCTCTCCGGCTCTCTTCCTAGAATAGAGCTTTCTTTCCTAGAATAGAGCTTTTTCCCCACTCCGACTTTCATGGCTCAATCACGAACCCAACAGACTTTCTTTGCGGCAGCAAGCATTTCGCTGGTTCCCTCTTCCGCAACAACGACTTATCTGCTACGAAGGCTCGAATCTAACACAACCTTGATGAGTCCGCTATTTTGTATCGTTCTTGAGTAAGATCTACGCTTGTGTTCATTTGTTGGCGGTGCTGCTAGTTCCCTTTATTTATCGGACTTGCTAGCGATCGGATGCTGACGTGCAGTACTATTTTGTATACACGAAGAAGGTAGGATAGGACAAGTGTAGTACTATTTTGTATACACGAAGAAGGTATCAATATTATATTAAAATTACATATTTAATTTAACAAAATTCTAGCTTTCTTTTTTTTGTGCGTACTTTTCGCCTGCCTTCTGGACCAAGCATAGGCTTCGCCGCTTTACAGCACCAAATAGGGGCACCCCGCTTACCGCTTAATGTTAGACGTGTTAGGGGATGTTTGAATTCTCCTCCTAAACTTTAGTTACTGTTTTATCGGATGTTTGACACATGTATGGCGTATTAAATATAGACTAATTACGAAACTAATTACACAACTTGCGATTAATTTGCGAGATGAATCTTTCAAGTCTAATTAGTCAATGATTTGACAACGTAGTGCTACAGTAACATGTGCTAATGACGGATTAATTAGACTTAATAAATTCGTCTCATGGAGTACTGACGGATTTTATAATTTATTTTCCCATATGACATCACATGACACTTCCTAAATTTACTTTACCCGCTGCGCGCCTTTGCTTTGAAAAAGGTGCTTTTAATTGACGAATTGGATGCCGCTTCTTTTCGCTCTTAGACTAACTCCAACAGCGAGAAGGCAAAACGGTGACCCATTCCAGGATTTAGGTTGTGCACAGCAAATGCGCCGCCCGCTGCCTTTAAGGCCAACTCCGCCACGGAAGGGCAAGGCACAAGAAGAGGGGGTCTCGCTGGGGAAGAGAGACCGGGCGGTCCTGCCTCCACCCTCCACCCCCTGCCGCTCCACCACGGCGACGGCGAGGAGGAGAGCGCTGAGGCGCGACCTGAGGCGGGAGGTCGCGGATGCTCGGGCCCACAACGCACCGGCCGCAAGAGGCCGCCGATGCCGCCCACCCTCCACCGCCCCACCGCCCGCTCCACCACGTCACCGAATTGGATGCCGCTTCTTTTCGCCCGCCGTCGCGGCATTTGTTCCCCCCCCCTCCCCTTCCACGGCACAGCCGCGACCCCTCTGGCCCCTCGCGGCGGTCTTCCCTAAGCCCTAAACCCTAAACCTCTCCGAGGCAGTCCTCGCCAGCCTGGCGCCCTGCTCCCGGTGTTGTCCGCGGAGCTTCCGGCTCGGTGCGGGACGCGACCTCCCTCGGCGACGCCGCGCCCAGGGTGTCGTAGTCGTCCGCGGAAGCACGTTGTCGTCGTCGTCGGCTCCACCCCGATGCCTGGGCCCACAACTACCGGCGCAAGAGGATTGCGTCGTGGGGAAGAAACGATGCATTTTTAGCGTTCCGGCTCAGCTCGTACCAAAAATGGGTGTTCGGTTTAGATACACCGGTAGAGACTTTTTTTTTTCCTTCCAAAACACTGTGCGCTCCCCCAAAATGTGTTTGGGTCGGCTGCTCCGTTGGAGACGGTCTTACTTTGCCCGCTGCGAGCCTTTCCTTTGAAAAAGGTGCTTTTAACTGACGAATTGGATGCCGCTTCTTTTCGCCCGTCGCATTTGTTGATCCCCTCCCCCTCCCCTTCCACGGCACAGCCGGACGGCCGAAAGCTTCCCTCGCAAGCCTCTCCTCTTCTGCCGTCGCCGCTTCTCGCGGCGGTCTTCCCTAAGCCCTAAACCCTAAACCTCTCCGGCCTCGGAGGAATGCAGTCCTCGCCGGGGTGCCCGGCGCCCCTGCTCCCGGTGTTGTCCGCGGAGCTCGCGCGCCTCGAGGCGCAGCTCGGGCAGACCGCCGACCGGTGGGCGCGCGCCCACCTCGCGGAGCTCGGCGACGCCGCGGCGGCCAGGGTGCTCCGGGTGGTCGCCGAGACCGGGACCCGGGTGCGGAGCCTGTCCGCCTTCATCAACCACCTCGCCAAGCAGGAGGCCATGCAGCGCAACGCCGCGGGGATCCCCACCGCCGAGAGCGCCGCCTGCTGCAACGGACCCTCCGCCCGCGCTTCACAAGGTGTTTTCGAAACCAATCTCCGTCGCTCTATGATGCATTGATGCTGGGCTATGCAGTCACTTTGTGGAAACTGCATTTTCCTTTTGCGCTTTTCCCCTTGCCAGCAACGCTTGTTTTGGTGCTTTTTTGTTACAGAAATGCTATACAACACACATGTGTTTTAGTGAAAAAAAACACATGGATTTTTTAGTGGAAAAAAACACATGAATTCTTGGCTCTTGCACGCTCGAACGCGAAACTACAGAAGGTTGTACGCAAGAAGATTGCCCGGTCGCACATGTGTTTTAGTGAAAAAAAACACATGGATTTTTAGTGGAAAAAAACACATGAATCCTTGCATAGAAAAAAATTGTTTCTTGTGATCTGTGGATCTGTGATCTTGTGATTTATGATTGTCTGGAGGTACAAGAAGGCTGGAGGTAGCTGCTAGATTTTAATTCTATGGTGCAAAAAAAATTCATGTGTTAAAACTGCATAAAACACATGGTCGTGGGTAGACAGACTCTTTGCTCCTGTAATTTACCGGCATGTTTCCCATCATATTGCTTCTAATCATCAAGTTATCTGTCATGCAGAGGATTCCATATCAGGACCGTTCTACCAAGACGTTGTCCAAGTGGAAGTTCAGAATCAGGGCCCCAATGGTGAAATGGCATTTGCCCGTCCAAACCACGCAAGGATGGAGCCTGGGAGCCCTGTGCGTCAGATGCCTTTCAGGTCGCAGTATCACGAGAGCCCTGTCAGGACGAATGCTTGTGTTGTTGCAGACCATGTTGAAGTGGAGGTTGAGAGCCCATCGGGTTTGGACTCTCCTGGCTTGCAGAATCAGTCCCCTTTTGCAGCTGTGGCTTCTCCGGTAGCAAGTCCTGGAGGAATGGGTGCTGGCTGTCTCGGGTATCACATGCCCGATAGTCCTGCCCGGGTTCTCACCCCAAGCCCTGTTAAGGATATTACAAGGCTTATCCAACAAATGGATGGTCCATCAGGAAGGGTAGGGGTTGCAACACCTTCTGTTGCCGCAGTGCATGCTTTGAGAGCAACACCAAGCCCTCTGATGTTAGCACTGGGGGAGTTAGAGTTTGTTCGGATATTCCTCATATATGTGTATCATGGAGAGTAAGTCCTGATTGTCTTTATGTTTTTCTCCCCCTACATAATTGGAACAAATAACTTACTGCTTTGAACTTCACTACAAAGTCTTGATCATCTGATCCATTTATCTAATGGAATAATGGACCAACAGACGACTAACTTTTTTCTTTAGCTTAATTGCTGCTTATGCTATCTTTCTTAGGTTCTAATCCATCTTGCCTCCTTATATTCCTATAGCCAGAAGATAGAACAAGTGCTGGAGGATGTAAGTTATATAAGGCATTTGAATTCACTGCCCATGGAGTACTTCGAGTCAGAAATCTGGAACAAATTTGGAATGAAGTATATACCAGCATCGGATAGAAGAAAGGTCATATATCACACTCGAACTTTTGTTGCTTTACTCATTTTTTTCTATGATGTTAATCACTGGCTGCAACTGTACACATAAATATCCATTTTTTAGTTTCTTACATATTCTCAAGTGTCATGATCTTTATTATCTGGAACTGGTTAGATATATGCAGCCATGCAGGACATGTTTTCAACAAAAGCTGTTGCATGTGTGTTTTTAGCATAACCATCCAATATTTTTCAATAAAAATAGTTCTTTAAATTTGGTATTTAATTAGTTTAACTGAAAGACAACAAACTAGCTTAGGTACAGTCATGCCATACTACATCTTCCTATTATTTCGAAAACAATGCTATTTTAGTATCTTCTAGAAAGTTTACACACTTTTTAGGTGTCTTCATGGATAAGAAAAGAAACCAGTAAAGTATTTGTTTATTTGAAGAAGCATGATCAATAATGTTTTTGCAATATGAGTAGGCCTGAATCAAAAGCTGTAAGTGGTTTGTTGCATCCATCTCCAAGAAATCTTTGTAGACTCATTTAGTATCAGCGTTGATGACTAACAAAGAATGCTAGCATTCAATATATTTGTAATTCTGAGTCATCACCTGTGCAAATTCAGCTGATGCCTGCTAGCAGATAACTTCAATATATTTGTAACTCCGAGTTATCATCTGTGTAAATTCAGTACACTTATATTTGTTGTTGGTTTTCATTCCCTTCAAGAGGATGCTAGCAAGATAACTCAGGAAAGTTTTTGCCAACTTATACTGCAGAACCTTGATTGGGACCCAAACAAGACAAGACTCTATTATTGTATTATTGAGAAAAGGGGTGATAACATAGCAACCATTTTTAAGGTTTGTAGTTTCTTATTCTCTTCTACTAATGTCTCCCTATCCCTGTGATGGTCTTTTATCCTGCCATGTATTTCATTTTTTTTCCTTTGACCTGTCTGTTCCTTTTTCCTTTTCTGCTGCATGGTTCACCTAATCATTGTAACCGATAGAAATTCCTTTCCCAAGGACCCAACTTGTGTAGGAACTTCTACCACTCTGTATGCCCTTTTTATATATACCTCCCCCCCCAACCCCCACACACACTTGTGAAATATTAAATACCAAAAAAGAGAAGTACGTTATCGTGATCTATTCATGGCCTTGTCATTTACTACTTATCCTTGTTTGTCTTGTCATACAGCACACAAATTTGATAGTGATATCTTCCAGGTTATTTTCTAAAAAAAAAACTTCTTGAACAACACACTGTCACCCTGCACCTTCACAAGGGGGAAACCTGGCCCTGAACCTGCATACATACCTGAACTATGGAGGGGTATACACAGTATTGAGTATTGGTATTGACATGTGCAACTGTACACAAATTTTGTGATTCAAGTTTATTAGTTGGATTTTTATTGTCATCTTTGATCATCCTCAGTAGTCAACCAGGTATAATTCAACCTTGTCAATCAATTATTCTCAAAAAAAAAAAACTTGTCAATCAATTTTTGAACCGTTTGTCATCATGTTCATGCATTGCAAAGAAGATTGGATGGCTACTTTGGTGTATCATTTATTGTCTGATGTTTGAATATTGTGTACTCTCAATCTAACATTTTTATTCTAGTGCCATATCCACTCTTGCTTTGATATGTGCACTCTCTCTCAGTACTGTTTGGAAAAGGTGTTATCCTTAGTATTGCGAGCAGACACAGTTGACAGAATCAATTTTCTTCATTCCTTTTTTCTTTCATGTTTCTACAATGCTTTGAGATGATGTATCAGTTTGTTTATAAATTTACAATATTTGATTTGATTCAGGGTCCATATGTGGAGAATACAAGGACTCATCTGCAGAACATTGTTGGTGATGACAATGTTCTTATTGTGAAGTTTGCAGATATACCTGATCTTCAAAATAATACAGACAACTTGTGTATCTACTGTCAATATTACAGCCAGGTTGCTAATGATGGTATCGTTTTGGGCTTGCGGCGATATCGCTTTTTCAGTAAGTTTGTTTTTCTTGTAAATTGTAATGTAATATTGGTTAGACCAATTTACAATGCAAACTTCTTAATTTTGATAGTTTTAATCGCTGTTATTGGCACACTAAAATCAATTCGCATTTGTTAAATGAGGTATTCCAGAACACATTTTGCTTGATAGAATCATAAAAAGTCGGTCTACTGCTTTGTATACTACTACAGCTATAGATAATTAGAGAAGAGCAGTAACTATAAATCAGCAGCCAATTGCAGTGTACGCGTATAGGATGACTCAGTCTTGTGGGCTATTATGGGTGGTCCATCTAGTATTGGTTAGACCATGGCATCTTTTCTCTTTTCTAACAATAATACACACCACATAGTAAGGGTCTTAGCTAGAACCATCATAATAAACCTCGTAAGACCACTGTTCATTGATTACATCTGCTGGGAATATATAAACATCACGTTAGATGGTTTATGCTAGTGGGGAACTGGGACTATAAATCCTGTGGCAAGTAGAAACTGGCCAACCTTGACTCTGTTAGTGATGTGGCTAGGAATCTGGGAACTCTATTGATGACTGGAAGGTGATTACAATGGTTGAATTATTAGAACAGCAGCAGTAGAGAGGATCGCCCTCCCTGGGAGGCTCTGATCTGCTAACTCTACTTCTGTTTGACTCTAATCCTGGCAGCACTAGTGGTTATATTACCCACATGCGCGGCTGAGGACACTTCCTACTATTATTAGCTAATTGACCATGCACTAGCACTAGAGGCAGCTGCACACCCACATGAGCAGCTGAGGGACCATGCACTAGCACTAGAGGCAGCCGCACACCCACATGAGCGGCTGAGGACACAGCTAGCTGATCCAATTGACCAGGCTCTAGCCACTAGAGGCAGCCGCATCCTTCTTCATCCTATTATACTGCTGCCCAATGAACGAGTCCACAACAGTTAGCTTGTCAGTTTAGTCTATACTTCCTTACCAGGAAATCTATCTTATAAAAAATTCACATGCGAGTCAAGATGGCTATGTGCACTATGCTACTAATGATAAAGCATACATTAACTTTGTCTTCCTTGTGATTCTCACCAGACGTAAACCGAAGCAAGATTAAGCTGTGGCATAGCTCTTGACAGGGGTGGAGCTACATATACTCTAGGGGTTGTTGGGTGCACCCACGCCAAAATGTAAAAACAGTAATTAGGGCCAATTTTTCACCATGTATGCACCTCCATGGCACAAATCCATGCACCCGCAAAGCAAGGGAATGGAATTATAAGAAGTTTGTATGATAGTAAGGAATGGAATTATAAGAACTGCAAAGCAAGGGAATGGAATTATAAGAAGTTTGTATGATAGTAAGGAATGGAATTAAGAAGTTTGTAAAAAAAAGTCCTGTACTGTTTCCAAGGAAATATGTTTCTCAATGAGGGTCCTTAATTTTAGAATAAACTACTTGACTGTTTAGATAACAAGAGGACAATGCACTAGTTTACTAGGCATCCATCGCTTTGTGTACAGTGAGTGCTAACTGCTAAGCATTTTTCTTTCTCCTAGAAGTGGCGTCTCATGTTTCATAGCTGCATGTTGACTGTATGATTTGTCTTGACTAGTCTGCTATTTTCCCAGTTCATAAAGATGGAGGGAAGACAGAGAGGCTAAAAGAGGAAAAGAAGAAAGAGAAAAACAAAAAATTCAGCCCTTCTATTAGGTGCTATTTTGTTCGCATGGAGTCTGGATGGGAAAGGGATTACCCTTACAAACTCGCTGACTATACAGTTGATCAGGCCCGCAGATTCTTTATGCACATAAACAATGCTTCTACTGTGGCCAAATATTTGTCCAGGTTAACCATTTTATGTAGTTTTATTTCACAGTATTAAGCAATCATGAATACTTTTAGACATCTATTCCAAATATATAGCAATGCCTTTGTGGTACTTGATAGTCTTTTATTATGTAAACTTGGTGCATGAAATTAAATCTACTACTTTTGCTGTATCCATTGGAGCTTGGGTTGTTGATACAATAACCAAAAAGTGGTGATGTGTTATGGAAACACAAAGTTTGATTAGACTTGGTGATATTTTTACAATTTGTGCACATCGATGGCCTTTTCTGTTTCCATGTCCCTCTTCCTCTAATGGGTAGTCTTGTGCGTAAACATAAGATTTCTGCACCAAAACAAATACTTTTTTATTTTCTGTTGGAAAGGTACCCCAAGAAGTGGGGTACTCTGTAGGACCTTGACACCTGGCACCCTCGTCATGGTACAACTTTGTCTAATTATCTTATTTTACTTGTTTCCTCTTAGCCCACATCCATTTTTTTTCTCGAAAACGCAGGAGAACTGCGTTTCGTTATATTAAGAAGAAAAAAGGGGGGAAGAAACCCCGTACAACACACACCACGCTAAACCCCACATCCATTACTATGCTGCACCTTCTCATGGCCTTGCTACTGCAAATAGAATGTTACAGCACCCACAACATGGCTCTGCCTTTTGTCCTAGTTTAAGTCTGCACTAGCACCCAGCTATCCTGTTCATTCAGTAAAGTTTTACTTATACTGTTCTGGAGGGAATGATGCAGGTTTGCTTTGATCTTATCCAAAACTATCAAATTGGATGTTAACTTCTCGAAGGTTAATGTTAAAAAAATCGACGATGAACCTTGCAGGGTACATACTCCTTCCTCTCTAATTTTTTTGCTGGATGCTGGATGCCATTTTTTATTTGGTTGAATGTTTCAGGAAGAATCTGGAGAAATTGTTGTTCAAGATGGTAAACCCTTGATTCATACTGATGGGACTGGCTTAATATCAGTAGATTTAGCTAGAAACTGCCCCAGCAGTGTCTTCAAGGGAAACTTTCTGAAGGTATGTGACTTGCTATTTCTAGCTAATGCCAGCCTTTTCAGTTAACCATTAAAGTTCATTAAGTATTTGTACTTAATATTTATCTTTTATGCCTTGCACAGGATGCTGTGGATTCAAAGCGGCACCAACATCTCACCACTCAACATGTATTTCCTGGACTAGATGATACGACAGTTTACTCTGTTATTTCTCGCAAGCTCTATTGCTTAACTGATCGATTCTTGCTTTTTTTTATATATATACTCTAGCCTCTTTTAATTCAGTTCCGGATGTTCCATAATGGAGATGCTGTAAAGGGAACTCTTCTAGCTGATAAAAGGGTATGTGTTTGTCACCCTGTATGGCTTGAGCCATAATTTAGTGTGCTTGTTATTGTTTAATTAACATCTTCATCAGGAATAGTTGCTTTGGACACTACCTTCAATTTCAAATCTTGCTATATATCAGATCTGCTGTTTATGCCTTTGTGTAACTTGAAAATGCAATGCTTCTGTCTCTACAATATATCATGGCAACATTACAACATTATGGATATTTAAGTATCCTAGTTATTAGAGTTTGTATTATGAAAAGTCAACCCCTCCCCCCCTTTTCAAGGGTGAGAGGTGTTTCCCTAATTCGGCCAATTTTCTCAACATTTCTCCGCCTACTTAGTCCTTAGTTCCTTACAGCAAAATCCGTAATGAAACAAACCTCATGTGTTACAGCTTCCTCCTGACACAATTCATATAAGACCATCAATGATAAAAATATACGGTGATGAAAATTCATTTGGAGAGCAGTCATTTAACTCTTTGGAAGTAATTACTACAAGGTAAGCCTTATCTGATGGTTTAGGTATTATGATATTTACTTATATCTGTGTAAATTTGAACTAATGCAAAAAGATCCTTAAAGAAAACACCCTCATGCAAACACACCTTAGTAGTTTTCTGTAGCTGCTGGAGTCATTTCCTTATGGTTAACACATCAATGACAATTTATATTGTTGCACCTTTTCAGTTACCGGCCTAAAAGGGCATTTACATCAAGGTTCTTAATTTCACTCCTTCACTATGGTCGGGTTCCAGCAGAGTATTTTCTGGAGCTTCTAAGGAATGCACTGGAAGATGTCAATAAAGGCCACCATACACCGAGAAATTCACTGGAAGGTTAGTTTGAGATTTATAGCCATGTGCTAATGCTACAATTATAGAAGTTGTACTGTGTTTTGTCTGCTGCAATTGTTGTGTTCCAACTATTTTGCCGTTTTTAAGTTTACATTTAGTCATTTAACTAGTAACTCTTGGGCCTTGGTTATTACATTCTATTAACATGGTCTCTTTTACAGTTGCATTTAACCATGCGGACCTGGATGATTCAATGTCTGCACGAATGATTCTTTCTGGAATTCAACTAGAAGATGAGGCGTATTTGCAATCTCAGCTAGCTCTAATGGCTAAGGTAGAAAGAAAAGGACTTAAAGAAGGAAGGATCCCGATCGATGATACTTATTATCTGATGGGCACAACGGATCCCACTGGGACCCTGAAACGGGACCAAGTTTGTATTATACTGTATGCCAGCAATATCCGCCATATCCCTTGAACTGAATGGTCTTTCATTTATGTCTTTCTGGTTCCCTTTGTTTTGTTTAGACATTCCAATTTTAGAAAGAACAGTCTTTGTGAGACAAACCTTTCTTACTTTCCTTGGATCTATTTGCATATTTTACAGTTTGTTTTAGTAGGAACATGAAAATGTAAAAGATCCTTCAATTCTCAATCACATCAGAGACTCTTGTCTTCTTTTGCCCCCAAATCAAATTATGACACTAAACTTTGGAATATACTCTGTTTTAGAGATTTTATGACTTAAGAAATGGGGATCAGAGTGAATTCTGTGTAGTGTGTACCGTGCACACGCACCTTCCTTTCTATTAGCAAGCTTGCAAGTAGACCCATTCAAGCATTTGTAATAGCAAACAGGCCCAACACACGCAAAATGCTAAGAAACACACTTTTTTTGCCTTAGATATTTCTTACTTTCTTATCATTGTGACTCTCCTCTGCCTTGAAAGAGGAAAACATCTTGCAAGAGAAGCAGATGTTATGTAATATAATCTGATTTTATTGGATTGGTCTGAAGTTCTCAATATGGGTTCATGACAATTTAATATGCTAGGCTAATGCAATCAGGAGGGTAACTACGTTGACAATATGGTTTCATGTGACTTATGCATGTTCTGGGATAATGGCATATTATCAGGGTATTATCAGGGTAAAACAAAAACCTGTGCATATGATTATTGTTACTATTTCTTGTACCTTCTTTTTTTACATTTTATTTTATCCTCTATTTCTGTCTCTTGATTTTTTTTCTCTGTGTATTTCACTTGTTAGGTTTATATCCTGACCAAACCTTCTTTGGACTAGAAAGCTTCGTTGTTATGGAATATTTGGATCTTCTAGATCTCGTGTTTCATAAAATATGTGGGGCTTCTAGAGTTTTAGTTTTTTTATGAACTTAGTTAAGGTTCTACCAACTTTTTGAATCAGTCCAAAAGACTAATTGTGAGCTCTTTTTCTTACTCAATTTATATCAATAAACAGTGACAACGGCCAACTTTCTGGAAAGGTTCTTGTCTATAAACATCCTGGATTACACTTTGGCGATATACATATATTGACTGCAACATATATCGATGGTTTGGAGAAGATTGTGGGAAATTCCAAATATGCCATATTCTTTCCCACCTGTGGACCACGATCTTTGGCAGATGAAATGGCCAACAGCGATTTTGATGGCGACATGTACTGGGTCTCACGAAACCCACAGGTTGTGTATTGTTTATCAAGAACTGTTCGTGCATAGTTTACCTTGCTTGCCATTAGTTAGTATTATATTATGTTTTTGTTCTGTTCCTTGGCTATGAAAGATGGCTCCTATTCATTGCTAAATTCATGTTAGTAGTTACCACTCTTTGCTTGTTTATCTCGCAGCTTAGCCATTATTTTGTATAGTAGGGTGCACTTTAGGCTAGAATTTTTTTACTGTACTTATGCAAAACTCCATGCCTGATGAGTAGCCTAATATGATCCCAGTAAAGGTAAAATTATGTAACCTAGGACGAGCGACCTAGCAAAGAGCTTATGCAACGTGGATGCCCCTGCCAAGCACCACAGGCGGCACGGACGGAGCTATGTGGGGGCCAAACTAGGTCCTGGCCCCCCCTTGCTCCGGCTGCACTCTAGAGGTTTGCATGTCGCTGCATGCATGCAATTAATTCCTGCATCTCTCGTATCATGCTTGCTGTTGCTGATTAGTGGATCACAACTTACAAGTATGTAAATCCGTACATTGTTCATTCTTCTTTGATAGAATTCCAATTGTTCATCGCAGTTTATATAGATAGAATTTGAAAAAACAAAGATTTTCACAGAATTCCAATTGTCTATACTAGTATTGGTAATTACCGTAGTAGTGTACCTTTGAATTGGCCCCCCCTACACATTCATGCAAGCTCCGCCACTGCCACAGGGCACCCTCATTGGCAACCGAATGTCGTAGCACTTCTATACTGTTCGTTTATGTTCATTTAGCAACCATATGTTTTGATATAGCCAATATATTCTTGTCGGATACCACAAGAAGGGGTACCCTAAGCAAGAACCGAAAATATTGCTTAACCCTTGCAAAAATCAAAGCCAAAGGACAACCACGAGGTCTCGGCAGATTCTCCGATTCGCCCGAGGCTTTCGCCGAGGCCTCAGACGAAAGGCCAAAACTCTCCGCCCCGCCGAGGCCCTCTCGCCGAGGCCCCGCCCCGCAAGGCCTCGGACGGGATACCAATTATCCGATTCGCCCGAGGCTGGGCTCGGCAACAACCTCGTCACCTCCGTCCCGACCGACTCCTCTGACAAAACGTCACGTCCGATTAATCGCGCCTAACTACTCCCATAGCGTCGGCCCGCGTTGGCGCGATCTGAGCGAGTGACCGACGGAGACGGGGGGCCGGGCGCAGCGAGGTTATTATCGCCATCAGTGCTCATCATCATGTGCCCCCTACGACACCCGTCTTGCCTTCTGTGCTACCTAACTCCTGCGCCAATGACAAAGCGGCGTGGAGGGTCAAGTCCGGGTCCTCAGTAGTCTCGGAATCGGCATGAAAGACCAACTGCTCATCCTCCGCCTCGTCTCGAGACCCCGCGCAGGCCTCTGGACGTACTATTCCTTCTCCGCTCGGCGAGGCCGGCTCGTCCCCGATCCTCGTCGCCTCCGCCTCAACCGTCCCTCTCTGGCGAGCCGTCCCATCCGTTTAAAGTGCGCTTTGATCACACCTACTACGTCGACCCACGACCGGCGGTACACAACAACATGGGCGATAGGGACAATGGTCAAATCTCCTTTTTACCATCCCCTACTGACGGTGCAGGGGTTACCGTGCCCTATGGACACACGCTCCACACTCTTCCACCTAAACCGGGTACGACGCTGACCATCAAGACCCCCGCATCACACACGGGTCACCTCCGAGGCCTCGACACGATCAGCTACAGCACCCGCCAGGCCTCGGCACTCCACCAAGTCAAGAATCCACAAGGCACGGCATGTCTCCTACAGTGGAGGCCATACTGACTAGACGTCAACAAGGACTCCCACGACCTCAACAACCTCGAGCCTGACCAGCACGGCGCGCCAGTCAAGTACCGATCGTCATTCCCAACACCATGCTGCTACAGGACTGAACTACAGTAGGCTCCACATGTAGCTCACTCATGTACTCCTGGCTCCCTCCTTGCGGTTATAAAAGGAAGCAGCCAGGGATAGTTCTAGAGAAGGGAGAAAACATACGAAAGAACCACGCTCTCACACACGCGCAAGCAACACTGTGTAACACACGCTCTCCCAAGCTGCCTGAGAGCAACGTCTCAAGCAGCCCGCACCGTTCCACGCCGAGACCTGGGACTAGCTCCCTCTCTCACCCAGCTTGTAACCCCCTACTACAAGCACTTCGGTGCAAGGAATACAAGATCGATCTCTCAGACTGGACGTAGGGCACCAATTGCCTGAACCAGTATAAATCTTGTGTCTCTTTGCATCACCATCCGGGATTAGGGGCACGCAGTTCAAATTCACTGGTTGGTTGAGGACCCCCTGGTCCGAAACACCGACAATTCTGCTCTCTCTTTTTTGTTTCCTCTGAGAAGAATTGTCACTTAACTGCAAATTTGACCTTTCTAGTTGTTGGAGGGCTTCACCAAACAACGCAAGCCATGGGTTCAGAGAATACAACCAAAAAAGACTGAACAAAAGAAGCCTGAGGATTATAGTGGATCCGAGCTGGAAAGTCTCTTATTCCATGAATTTTTGAAAGCTAGATTTACACCCAGGTATTAACTGACAAGGCTAGTTTTCTCTGTATCCCTGTAGTTCGATTGATGTGCTTATTTGCCACTAAGAAGGCTGGAGAATGACTTGACACTAAAAAAGTACCATACATGCTATGCAAGAACCCATAAGTCATGATTTTAATGCCCAATGGATCCAAGAGAAATAACCCTCATTTTAAAATACCCCCACCACCTTATGGATTGTATTAGGTAACAATTATATGATCGTCAAGTTTGGTGGGAATAACATATGGAGTGCAAGTTTTATTCTCATCTTGTTTAGAAAAATCATGATAGCATAAAAAATTGGTTTAAGTGTTTTAATCTTCTATTGGCTTTATATTAGAAAGTGAATATGGTGCGGTTGTCTTTATTTTTTTGTGACAATTCCCTTTATGGGAAATTTGACGACATTTGGGAATTTTCAACTCGACGTGTCCTGACATGTAGGTCCTTGTTCCTTGGGCCACATGCCCACATCAGAGTCAGAAAATGAAGTGGTAGTCCTTAGTTTGACTTCACTGTAAAAGTTATATAGTCTTATTAACATATTTTGTTTTCTGCCTTTCAGCTATGTGCTAGGTGCAGCTTCAAATTGTTGGCTGGCGCTTATGGATCGGCTCTTGACAGGCGACGTTCCAAAGAGCGAACGGCAAGCGATAAAGGAGAAGATGCTCGATTTGGTTGACATTTACTATTTGGCTTTGGATGCTCCAAAGGAAGGGAACAAGGTAACTTTCAATCCTGGGCTCATAATTTCGGTGTTGGACCATCCTCATGTCGTGTTTCGATGTGAGAATCATTTGTTACGTCTGACAGAAACAATCCAGATGAAATAATACATGAACTCAGAGAAGAAATAGAGGAACAGTGGGTCTGGATTATGCTTAAATATTTTTATATATTTTGTGAAAAAGTTATGTAAGAGAATGATTTTGTACCATGCTTTAATGTCAAGGTTTTTATCTTATTTTGCCAATCTGGCTTCCAAATAGATCACTGTTCCTGAAGAGCTGAAGGTCAAGAAATACCCACACTTCATGGAACGGGATGAAAAGAAATCTTACACGTCGACGTCCGTGCTGGGCAAAATATATGATGAAGTAATGTCGAAGGAGTCTGAAATTGATCCTGAAATCAGTAAGTTGCTGATATATATAGGTGTCATCCCCCTCGTTCCGTTGACAGTAGAAAAGGTAATTGATTACAATATCCTTTGTTTTTTTTTTCTCTTTTTATTATTCAGAGATAGTGCCCCTGTCATGCTTCACTGAGGTAGAAGTATCTGACTATTACAAGCGCCGTTGGAAGGCTCTTTATTATGAGTACCTGGGGGAGAGCACTAAGTTTTGTAAGCTGGAGAACAAGGAGGAAAAAAACAACAATTTCCGACGACTCTACCAAGAGTACAAGCGGGTCAGTAAGGATTCTACACCACCCGTCGAATAAAATACTTTTACGTTGAAGTTTCCAACTGCTGTCCTAAGAACTACGGGATTCTGCAGGAACTGTACAAGGCCGAGGAGTTTGAACAGAGCCCAAGGGAGCGGTCGGATCTCTTCAACGAGGCCTGCGCGGTGTACCAGGTGGTGTACGAGTACGCGATGTCCCGTAACGACGTCGCCAAGTGTGGCTTCGCCTGGAAGGTGGCCGGCCGCGCGCTGTGCCGGCTGTACACGCTGAAGCGCGGCGGCGACACCGCGCTCTGTTCCTTCTCGGTTCTTGAGGATGCTTTTAAGAGGAACCGCGCGTAGCGAGCTAGCGTTAGTAACTTAGTATTTTGCAGTTCGTGTGCCTTTTGTGTGAAAAAAATCGCTGATGTCGTAACAGCAGTGGTAGTGGTGGAGGTACTATTATTACTATTATTAGGAGATGCACAAGGTGCAACCAGAGTCAGGTAGACGATGATGTGATCCGTGATGTCAGTATATATGGTACTCGGTACTCCTATATGGCTATATGTATCAGGCCCTGTTTGGTTGGTCTTTTTGCCCCAAAAGTCAAAAGCCCAACCAAAGGGGCTGCTTTTGAGTGGTATGCTTTTTATGACTGGTTTGACCTGGCTTTTGGCTTTTTTTTCAAATTGGTGGAATAAAAAGCTCTTCCATAGTTGTTTCAAGAGAGATAAAGATAAAGGTATATTTAAACTTTTTCAATTTTTCTACAAACCCCACAAAGACTTTTCCACTTATATCAGTTATAACCAAGAGGCCTCAGTTCACTACAAGATGCTGATGGTGTATGCATGACTGTGTATGGTAATTTGGTAAGTATATTTGTACCTACTTATATTTTTGGGTAAACGTACTTATATCAGTTATAGAAGATCTTCTAATATATATATTGCCCTGGGTACTGGATAATAATCAGTACCCTAGCCCGCCCGACGCACCCGCTCTGACCCCGAGCCACCCAATCGGTGGGCGCTGGTCCGTCATCCCCTTCTTTTTTTTTCTTGTACTGCACCCACCTCCGTTTTTTTATTTATTAATTAATAATAATTTTATTTTTTGTTCCACTTTTAGATCGTGGGAGACGCCGGTTTCTTCGCACAAACCTAGATCGCCACCACCACAGCAGAAGACACAAGCCCCCAGCTTCGCCGCCGACGGCCCGAGCTCGCCCGCCCGCCCCATCCCCCATCCCGTCCCGTCGCCGACGACCTCAGCTTGCCGCCGCCCTGCTCCTTTTTGTTCGGCGCCGTGAGCCCGCTACACTGGGCCATGGCTGCTACCCATCTTGTTGCCTCGAGTGGCAGCAGTGTCTTCTCGTCTCCACCTCTTCACCTTGTTCCAATCCCTATGTTGAGTGAATCACGGCGGTGGTAGCGCCTTATCCACAGCTACCATGCTCGAGGGATTCGGCGTCATGCGCCCTCGCCATACTTGAGGATTCGGCGTCGATCCACGGCATCCACAAATCCGTCGTGAGCCCTCTGCTTTGATTTGGTGGTGGCGGCGGGCGGCCTCACCTAATCCGCAGCCTCATAGAACGCGCCCATGGTGGATCAATTTCAGCGACGCCATCGGCATCATCTCCTTCAGCGTGCAACGCGACGATCGTCTGAGCAGATCGCCACCCCAACCATTCCTCGGTATGGTACCCATCCATCCGCACTCACATTCGATGCCCCAATTTTGGTCCCTTTTAATGTTGGGGATGGGGATCTGACTTTACCTGTTGTGTGTAGATCAAGACCCTAAAGAAGATTGTCTGATTCTGATATTTTTGCTCATGGATCTGGAATATATTTGCACGAAGATGCAATGCAAAACAGCAATATAGCATCACTTTGCAGAAACACGGCATTATCTCATCTCGCCATTAAATGGATCTATGATCTGCTCCCCAGGTAATTCTCTTTCTTCCTTGTTGCATGAAATTGAGCCTCGACGGCTGTTTAGCTTACTAGATATAGCTTATTTGTGTCTATCATTTACAGATTCACTGTAAGGGACCTTTTTGCCTAATATTTTTCTTACCAGTTCGAGTTATGCATCTTACTCGTTTTTTATTTTCACAGTCAACATTTCGACACCTGTCCACCTGTCCGAGCTTTTCTATTCTTCTTTTGCTTGTTTAATCTAATGGGTTGCTAGTGTGTTATTCATGTTGTTGTTATCTCCTAACTATCCTCTGTTTTCTCGCTTTTCTATTTTTAGAATAAAGAATCATACATACAATAGTAATTTGCTCTTTAATCAATCCAGTTCACTAATCTTTCTAAAATAAGTAAACATCTCGAGCCATGGAATTATTGCTTAAGCAGCACTGTAATGATAGGAAAGGTTATAAATAAATCTGAACTTACCTTTGTCATGCAAATATAATAGTTAGCCTTCATTTGTTCATCACTACTTTTCCTTTCCGATCCCTCCAATTTTGATTTATCATGTTCTTTCAACGCCTTTCTTTTTCTATATGCAATGCCGAATATCTAGAAGCCATTTCTGTGTATGCCTGTGGTGTTAGAGCCTTCATTGGTGGACTGGTTGTTGTTTGGGACAACTATTTCGGAAACATTGGTGTGTAATCTATATGCGCCCTGTGTTCTTGTTGTATTGAAGATAATTCCTTTTTTTCCTTATTTGTACAATTTGTGGTACCCTAATGGTACTTACCCTCTATTTTCACTTTTTATGCTCTGTTTTTGGACGCGCAATGCCCGGTTGCTGGGCTGCCACATCTTGATTGCACACACGTCGAATGCCAAGCTTGCCTTACTCAGATGGAGTCCTCCGGTACGTCAGGTCCCCTATACCCGCCTTAATCCCTTTCTCGTGCATCTTGTAAATTTAAGCTAGCCTTAATCCATTTCTCGTGCATCTTGTAAATTTAAGCTATTGATAGTTGAAATGCGGTATTCTAAATAGATTCTTACTCAATGCCTTCAGTTTCGGGTTGGAGTTGGTCGATAAGATGCCTAACAACCCAAAAAGGGTTGTATTTGAGAGCATATAACAATGTTCAGTACATGATTGCAATTTTTAGTGGCCTTTTTTATGTTTAGGAGCTGCTTTCCTCTCTAGGTCTAGAATGTTAATGTGATGATTCCGCATTTAGGTACGAGGTTCCTTTACAACCAGAGGTTACCCTCCTAACCAGGTCGACCTTCTGCGCCGGCTCCACAGAACAGAGGTGCAAAGGGGATTATGGCTGTACTATAATGTTAATCTCTTGCAATCTGGAATTAGTATTTTCAAAATGACCTGACAAAATTATAGACATTCATTTACAGCTAATCTAAGCTTGAGTATGGTTTTTTTTCTAAAAATTATATGTATATGAACTGATGTCTTGACACAGAATTAGAGAACAAATTAACATACATGTATTTCAAATTTTGCTTGCCCAAATTAACAGTATTCTTTCGTTTAATATATGTCGTAGTGAGAAAATTGGATTATATCCTACTTAATATAAAGATAATTGTTGCAATTTTTTGTACTTATGCATAGCTGTAATGGGAATACCATCTTTTAAATTTAAATCCCCTAAACAGGAGGACATAGTATGCAGTAATGTCGGCAGTGTTTAGTAATTGGTGGATCAAGACCAATGGTATGATCACCATGCCATTGAGGAGGCCAGGAGGGGTCTGAACTTGCTAATCATCCTTGGGGCATGGATTTGGAAACATTGAAAAGGTTATATTTTTTTAATGGGGTTCGCCTGATGTGCTGTTTTTTTAATGGGGTTCGCCTGATGTGCTTCCCATTCACAATTAGCTAGAGAGGAAGCAAACCTCTAGGTTTGCCTTGTCCTAGGGCATTAGCACAGCTTGACAAGAATTCGTTGTAGTGGATTGTTCAGTTAGTCTTTTTGTTCTTTCAGGGACGTGTCTGTAACTTTGAGAGTTTGTTATCTGTTGTATTTCTAGGAATTTGATCCCCTTAATGCAGTGATGCACAGCTCCTGAATATTCAATAAAAAATTTAAATCACTACAATCATCCTTTCTCAACCTATAGTTATTCATTTAATCTATCCAATTTAAATCACTGCATTTTCATACATTGTGGCACTGCTAAATCATTTTGGAAGAAATAGAGTTGGTGCACTGCTGTGAGTTTATTTTTCCCTCAACACTTGATTTCCCTCAACCCTGTCATTTGTTTGTGTATGAAGTTTGGCCACATAGAAAATCCCTTTGGGAGTAGATTCAATTCAGCCTTCCTGTTTTTGGCTCTGCTTGATTAACTTCCAAAATTTGCCATGCCAAAGATTTTGCATGGATAGGTTGCTTTGAATGTGTGTCTACTACCGACTAGGCTGTGCTTCTATATTTGTTTTGATCCTGTTGTTCCTCATATGTATTCTTTGGCTTTAGTTTTATAGCATGTGTACAAATGATTCACCATAAAATTTGGTTGTATTATATAAGTTCATTAGTTGTAGTTTTGCTTCATTGTCCGAGTTTTGTACAAATTAAAGGCCTTGCATCTAGTTTTCTGTTTTATGTATGCTGGGGATTTGTGGCAGCTAGATTTTACTTTTTTTTGTGAAGACGAGTACCTGTTCAGATATGCAAAATGGTATATTTCAGAGATGATCACTGTTGATGCAAATTATTTATGGTTACAAAATCATCACATGATGCTAGGGTGCATAGCATTTAATTTGTTTTGGTCACGCATGGCAGTATTTCTAGTCAGGCCACATTGGTTGCAAATAATAGTTTTTTCAGGTGTCGACATAATCAGCATAATTAAGTTTTTAGGGTCCCATACAACATTCTTTCCTATCAGATTCTATGCTATGAATTATATGTTTCATGGTTCGCTGGATTACAACAATATGAATCAACTATGTGTTTGCAGGCTGATAAGATTTTTGCACTCACATGTGGAAACACAACATGATCTTCCTTTTCTATTCCCTTTTGAGCTGATTAGTTCACACATGTTGGGACAGATTTGTTGGTGCCTTGTGACAGTCCATTCGAAGTTTTGAAGAGTTTTTCTTGCTATTTAGCTCTAGTATGTCTTGTAATGTTGAAATTGCTACCTGACATGAACCACAATCAAGATGACTTAAACTGGTGTTCACACCCATACTATGAACGAATCCAGTATCCAAATTTTAAAACATGGATGAATGTTTGTCGAATTAGTGATTAGTTTGACTTCCAATTCTGATCTTTTTCTATCATAATTTTCATGGTTCTTGAACAATACAGACATAGTCTTGATTGTTGTTATTATGATTTTCTTTAGTAACAATTGTACCTTTTTTTAACATTTTCAGAGGTTTAG